ATCTCGTTTCCCTCGTTGTTATGGCGGCATTTGTTTGCCTTTTCTCCAAAATTGTGATGCTAAAAACAAATACCCGAAGGAGGGCTTTCATAGCGTTTCCTTGATGGGCTACGACGTGCATATCGACCACGTGATGGAGAGCGATGGCGCCGAAAAGTTTCAGCTTGAATGGCTACTAATTGAGTGACCAGTTTGGAAAATTCATTAATTTGAGCTTGTAACGCCGCAATGCCTTGATTAGAAGTCTAAACTGCATGTATTTGCGTTGGCATGACCAGCTCGTGTATTTTATCAGCGATTTTGGACAGTATCGTAAGAGGCTCACTACTGGCAGCTAAAATGGCCTGCATGTTTGATGGGAGTCTATTCATTCATCATGTCTTAAGAATATTGTCCGTTAGGTTACCGGCGGATAAGTCTGACATTTTAGACAACAATTGAGAAGGCCTCATATCACCCAGCTGTAAATCTTGCAATAGTTGCTTGATTTTAACTGTTTCGGATTCTGCATAAACAGAAATTAATTTTTCTCTTAAAGATTTGTATTTTTCCATCGCTGGTGGACTTAAGATAATTTCACGAACTGATTGAAGTACTTCTGATTCTAAAGCGGCGATTGCTGTGTAAAATTGAGTTTTGTCAGCAGTAATGTGACTCAATTTAAACTACGCATCCAGTTGGATGAATTGCCTTTGATTTGAATTGCCTTTTTAAACCGAAATCTAACGTTAATCTACGAAAACCGTATGTGTTTATTTTTGTTCCGTTCGCGGCGTAGATTGCTATCTCCGTAGTCGGTTGCTTATGAATGTGTGGGTCGCGTGGAAAGACTGAAATTGACGCGCCAGTATATAACCATAGCGATGGATCTTGGCGACAAAATGGCGGAGGCTTAACTGCAACTCGCGCCAATTGTGAAGAAGCATTGTTGTCAACCATTTTAGATCAGTCAAATATACTCAATAGCACAGAAAAATAATCAATATACGCATATAGCGACACAGCTTCTTGGTAATTTAAATCAGAAAAATTAAATTCAACACACCATACATAGATCCGATAAAATTCTGACAGAAATATGTTGACTTACCAGAATGTGGCAAAACACTTTAAATCAAAGGTAAAATGTCTTACTTGAATTTCATCACACTTGACAACTATTGTTGCTCAGGCTTTTGCATATAAACTTCATATTCGTACAACATTACAGGTTGAGATTCGTAATAAATCCGAGGTCACCAGTTTGTGGAGGAATACTTTTTGTGAGAAATAAGTAGACTCGCTTCTTATTATAAAATATAATACATTAACAGCTTTGAATAATAACAATAGCGTACATCTTAAAAACAGGAGAATTATCAAGCAGCAGAAAGAAAACAATAGTTTTTTTTTTTTTTTTTGCTCCTCGTTGCTATGGGATACGAGACTGGCAGCGTTGAGTTGTAGTATGCAGGTCACCACGTATAGCATACGAAAATATTATGACAGCTGTTACAAATCGAAGAGATGGATTGTTTTTCTTAGATGCACCTGGTTGAACAAGTAAAACATTTCTAATTTCCTTTATCCCGGCAACAATCAGGGCTAAAGAGAATAGAAGGGCTGATTCACTCCTTTGAAGTATCTCTCGCCGCGCCGATCCTCCGACGTCACACTAGTGACGTCACTTTGGCGCAAAGCTCGCNAAAAACAGGAGAATTATCAAGCAGCAGAAAGAAAACAATAATTGTCTTTTTTTGTGCTCCTCGTTGCTATGGGATACGAGACTGGCAGCGTTGAGTTGTAGTAGGCAGGTCACCACACATAGCATACGAAAATATTATGACAGCTGTTACAAATCGAAGAGGTGGATTGTTTTTCTTTGATGCACCTGGAAGAACAGGTAAAACATTTCTAATTTCCCTTATCCCGGCAACAATACGATCGCAAAATAAAACTGAATTGTCTTTGGCCTCCTCTGGAATTGTTGCAACCCTTTTGGATGGTGGCCAAACAGCGTTCAGCACTTATAAATTACCTTTAAATATACAATTCACTGAAAAACCCACATGCAATATCAAAAAAAATCTGTAATTGGGTATACTATAACCTACGTCACAGGTCGTGTTATTCCTACTAAATTTAACTAGTAAACAACATTTTCTGCGAACTTGATTTTTAGCAACAAATAAGCATTAAGCAAAGCATGTTGTCACAAGTCGTTACTCGCCAGGTTGCAATTGTATTAGTCTAATTCTTTTTGAAATAATTATCTAAGTTTATGAATTTAGTAAACATATTTAAAACTCAGTTTATTAATTAAACTAAAAAGTTAATGTTATTCCTAGTAAAATTTTCGAAGTGGAAGTAGTTGTGTTTTTTTCCATATTGTACCCAATTGGTAAAATACTACAATCATGCCAACTTATAATTTGGGATGAATGTGCTATGGCTCACAGAAAGGCATTAGAAGCGCTTCATCATACTCTAGGAGATTTGAGAGAAAATGAACAACTTTTCGACAGCCCACTAATTTTATTGTCTGGTGATTTCCGGCAAACTCTACCAATAATTCCATCAATAATCACATTCTAAATGAAATTCCAGGTTATGTAAGAACATATAAATCCATACATACTGTAATAGATCAAAACGAGTTTGTAAACTACCCAACTGAATTTCTGAATTCACTTGATTTTCAAGGTATGCCGCCGCACATTTTAACTTTGAAAACTGGAGTACCTATCATTCTCTTCCGAAACATCAACCCACCCTGACTTTGTAATGGTACGCGTCTTTCAGTGAAAAAAATAATGACCAATATTGTCGAAGTTAAAATTCTAAATGGCAAATTTAAAGGAAAGGATGTTCTGCTACAGCGTATTCCAATGACCCCCAAAGATATGCCATTTGAATTTAAACGTTTGCAGTTACCGGTGTGACTTGCTTTTGCCATGACCATCAACAAAGCCCAAGGACAGTCACTGCAAGTATGTGGTCTGAATTTGAAAAATCCATGTTTCTCCCACGGACGGCTTTGTGTGGCCTGCTCACGTGTAGGAAGACCTTCTGATTTATTCGTGCACGCTCCAAACGGTAAAACAAAAAAAACATTGTTTATTCAAAGACACTTGAATAAACTTGATTATAACTAGCCGTGAAATTACCAAATGCTTTTCAACATTTAAATACATCTCTGACCATAATTAGTTAATAATTAAATACAAAACCTGAAACATCTGAGCAACGGCAAGCAAGACAGGTTTCCGATTTAAAATACATTGCTCAAGCTCGTTTATCTGAAACATCAAAACAATGGGAAGTAAGAAGGGAAAACGATTGAAAATTCACTTCTCTTTTCAAACGCGGGCAATAGGCTGCTTTAAATCTTAGTGCATTTCTCTATGATCGAATTACTAATTATAGTCTCTATCCAAGTCATCATAGGAAAAATGGATCCTTTATGTGTGTTTTGTAGTGCTCTCAAATTTAAGAATGAAACAGATGGAATTTGCTGCTCTGGTGGAAAAGTGATAACGTCGCCAACTGACCCATTATCAACATTATTATCGGGTCAAGCAAATCAATTGAAACTTTTCTTGGCGAATATACGTCGGTACAATTCGTGTTTCCAAATAACTACATTCATTGCTACAAGCATCGGTGCACATATGGGGAGCCAGATTTATTTATTAAATTTACATGTAATCCTGCTTGGGTTGAAATTTAAGAGCTTTTGTAACCTAGTCAAACATTATCGGATCTTCATGATATTACCGCACGTGAGTTAAACCAAAAATTAAGCTCTATACTTGATTTCATTGCGAAGCGTCATGTTTTTTGGAGAGACACGGTGTTTGATGTATTCTACTGAATGGCAAAAAGAGCACATGATTTGGCTTATTGAAAAAATAGCACCATGCCAAATTGGTCAGATCATATCAGCAGAAATACCTGATGTCGCCATTGATCCAGACTTATTTCAGATCATCATCCAAAATATGATTCATGGTCCGTGTGCATCACCATACATGTCTGTTTGAAAATGCACAAACGATATCCTAGAGAATTAACTGCTGAGACTATCACTGGTTTTTTCGCCATCAAATAAAATTCTCATTTCAAATCAAAGTCGCAAATGTTATTTACACGCTTAAATATAAAATTACAATTCAAACTGAAAGTGCTGCAACGCACGCATATAGTGATGGTTGATCGGGGGATCGTATATATATGTGTGTGAGCCCCTCTATCACTCTTGAGAAACTTCTGCGATTTTTGGTAACTAAGGGTTTAACGTCCCCCGCTCAACTATCACTTTCACACCCCTAGAACAATGATGGTTCCAGGGATCCCTTCTTCACACAATAAAGCAGTAGTCTAGAATTCTTGATACGAAAACGGTAGTCTAGAATTCTTGTTTAGGCAATAGATTCGTGCATAGATCAAATCTGTTTGACCTTAAGAGAATCAAATATTGTTATTGGAAGCACTCATGCATATAATTTTGAATTGTAAAGTATAAACTTTTTTTTCTTCATTTTAAAGAATGCAATTTTCAATTTCAAAATACGAAATTTGAGCGAGGATTGTCTTATAACTCCTGAGAAACTGAAGTTCAAGAAAGTCGTATTTTTAAAATTCGATTTCTGAAGCATTATTCAACTGATATTGCTTTATTTGATATTGCTTTATTTGATATTGCTTTATTTGATATTGTTTTATTTGATATTGCTTTTGATTTATTATGATATAAAAAATTGCATACCTTACAGTTTGAAAATTGTTCCATTATTATTAACTAAAGTAGCAAAAAAATAATAAATATTTGCTAAAGTTTATATTTTGCATAGAATTAGCATGAGAGAACGAATTTTTGTGTGCAAAAATCGGTCCATACTAGCAAATGATAAGTCAGCATATGATAAGTCTAGCAGATTTTCCTCATGACATATTTGTTAATTAGAATCTTTAAACTGGAAGAAATAAGGATCTTAAAAATATGTAATTTACATTGTTACCTCTCTGGATCAAATTTCTCAGGGTCTGGATAGTACTTTGGATCCCTATGAATAGCCAAAATGGGAAGCAAAATGACCGCATCTTTTTGAATGGTAATGCCTGTTTCTCCATGAATGTAAGTCTTTTCAGCTCTTCGGCTAGTTCTATACAATAAAAATAGAACAATTGAACTATTTATATTGATGTAATAGTTAAGGTGTAAACGTATAGGGGGTAAACAAGATAAGGGTGTAAAACATATGTTTGAAATTATAGCAGAATATCTTGACTTACAAATTACTGGAAGTACCAAAACAGTTAGATCATCATATAGGCTCAGAAACCATTTTTATGCAATGGTAGAATTATAATATTACTCAAAGAATTTTTTTTTCGGAAATTGATAATCACTACTCACCTTATAATCGGAGGATATAATCTCAAAGTCTCCGACATGATTTTATCCAAATATTTCATTTTTTTCAAAGCTTCATATGTTAATTCACCCTAAAAAATGAAGTGTTTAAATTTGTAATGAAGGATGAATAGAACCAAAAAACAGAGACAGGCTTTAGCGTATTGAAATTACGAATAAGAAACATGTGAAATTACAACTACAATATTAATTTATTATAAACGTTGAACTCCTCACCTCCTCCCTCCAACTTCGTTGAGTTTGCTATGAGGCATAGTGCATATTCCTCAATTTAGTTTCAATAGCTAAATTGGAGGACAGCACCAAACATATTTTGAAGATAACTCAAGAAATAATGAATAATATCAAGTTAATTATATGAATGTAACATCGCATTCTTGAAAAATAAATTTAAAAAAAATTAAAAAAAACGTTGATTTCAAAAAGATAGCTGCACGAAACACAGATCATGAATTAAAGGACATCACATCAAAATAGTTCAACAATGAAGTAGAAAAATAGCTCTTGGGAATTTTTTAACGGGGGATATCACCACCCTTAAAAGCAAAGCAACTCTCATAGTGTTTAAGGGGCCTTTCACAAAATCTATGTCCAACAAAAAATCCCACTGTATTCAGGTTACCTTATCTAGACAGTTCTTTTATTCTGAGAGGCTTCTAGAAGGGGGTTGCGAGCTTCAAATGAGTATCTCAGACATGATCAATCAGACTCAGGTCTCGAGATCTGGATGCCTACTCCAATGCGTGAATATTTTCGGCTTCATGGTATTTCTTGTCCATCTCAAACCTACAAAAATGCGTTTTGTCATTCATAAAAAATGAATTAGAGAAATACAGTACCACTGAAAAATTTTATAGAGGTCTCAAAAATGTTAGACCATGGAACTCGAAAAAGACAAGCACTCAACATTACAAACATAGTTTCTTCCCTGATGAGCCCCAATGATGTCTGAACTCGATCTGCTCTATATAGAGTGTACCAGACTCACAATACCACTTTACAATATCTAGTGGGCTTTACGGTTAGGGCCAATTTGATGTTAGACGGCCCCCTCTGGAATGCACGTCTTTCATGAAGACATTCTGACTCATATGAGATAGTGGGTTCATATTTTAGATCCCTATAAGTTTGTTCAGAGGCACCGCTGATTCCATGTTCATTTTCGTAGTAGAAAATATGCGATCACATAGGGCTGAACTGGAAAATGGATTGAGAATGCCATCATGTTTCCAGACCTGAATATTATAAATCTTGAAAGTAATTCTCTTGGCGGAATATTTGCAAGTTATCATTGCTTCTCAGAAGCCTCTCATTACTAAAATTTTCCTTAATAGAGCCATTGTAATCGAGGGGAATTAATTGTTTGATATAAACTTTATAAAGAACCTCATAAACAACTTGAGAGCTTATTTTGAGTCCAGCATCGCTTTTAAAGATGGTCATAATTTACACTAAACCTACCACTAGTGTCCTTTTACTACATCATTTTTGGTCTTCGTTGCTGTGATGTTATTAACTCTTGCTCTTCGGTTCATGCCGTAGATTTTTTGTCATAATATTTTTATCATAGTTTCATGAATATTCATATGAAATTTCACATGATTTATCATCCGAAATATTTTTTTCTCAGCAACTGTCCGCCAGTGTAGAGCAGAACAAAAATATAAACCTAATATGACTGGTACACTAAAATACATAGCTGAATGCAGTATTATGATGTAAATTCTTACAGGGATTAAATTTGCGTTATGAACTAAAATAATTAATTAATAACAAAAATAATATTTTCGGATCCTCACGTTTGTTTCTTGTAAATGTTCTGCAACTTCTTGATATGATTTCTCCTGTATGCTTTCGTTAATAGCCAGAATGTATATGACGCTGGACAGCATCAATGATGTTGTGTCATGTGCAGCTAAAAAGAAAGTGACACGCTGGGAGACCAGTTCTTCATGTGTAAGATCTAAAATTAAACAAAAATAATTAACAAAAACAGATGAAGATTTTCACAAAAATAAACAATGCCTTTGAAATGTGTTTGGATGCTTTAAATTCTTTGCTATTTTTGTTACGTGCCATATGTATTTTTTTACGATGACTCTTAAAGATTTTTACCAGAAGGGGTAGCGTTAGTCGAACGGTCACATAGTTTCTTTACTTTCAAATCAATTAAAATACCTATGTCTAAAGTCGGTCACCATTCTCCAAAAACATTTATTTTTGAGCCATCAAAAGCAACTAAATTCAGTCAGAATCTGTAACAGAAAAACGAAGTACGTTTCTGCATTCAGAAGTTTTGACATCAAGTACGCTTCCAGGAGAAAAACACTCAGAATTTTTAAAAATTCACTGAAACTAAGTCTACGTTGAGATATGCACGGTTCACTGGCAAGCGGATTACCCATCTTCCACATGTGAGAATTATATGTGTTGAAAATGTCTCGCATAAACATATCTCCGTCAGTAAATGAAACAGTAGTTGGAAACTAAGGATTAAAATACGTTCTTCCTCAATTAGAGGCTGTATCTCTTGTAAGTGGAATGTGTACATCTTTTCAGTATGTAGAACATTCCAGACTGACCTAAGTGAAACATTGAGTTCAGCAGCAACTGCTTGCAAACTAGTTGACGGGCAATAGAAAAACAGAGGTAGCACGATTCTTTCCATTCTCTTACATTACGCTTTTTCCCTGCACCTGGTCGTACTAAAGGAAAAGTCTCGGTCTCCTGTAACCATTGATCCATAGTACTGTAGTGCGACAAGAAAGGTCACTACTTCGAACCCTAAAGTTTCACTGGAGATGCTCAGTGCTTCACAGCAAACAACACACAAGTGATTAATTAAAGTGGAACAAACCTCAACTGACCTCCTTTCGTTTCCTCTAGATTCAGGGCCTGTATATAGAGCATGCCTTTTACGATATGTACTATTTCAACGATATTAAATATTGATATTTACTATTTTAAAGTAATTTCTGCTCCCATTTTAGATGTTAATTTTTTTTATCCACTTGATATGTTTTATCACCCCTCTTAATCTGTCAATCACAGTTCAGAACATCATTTATTTAGAAAGAAGTCCAGTGGCTCAGTGGAAGCGGTTTGCCACAGGTTTTAGGTTCTATCCGTGATTGGGCTAGATTAGCTTTGCCTTTTATCCTTTCAGTGGATCTATGAAATGAGTACCAAGAATGCTTGGGGATTACACAATGTGGATTCCGCGTACAGCTGATCACCCAACCGGAACATCTGCTCCTACGTCCCACAGCCTAAGTTCAAGAAAGATTTAGTCTGTTTTTTAAAACTCTATCATCTCAAACTCTATCATATCAAAATTTGAATCTAACTTTTTTTTCTTTAGCAACTCGAATTTCTTTTTACCTTTTCATCCTTTATAAAGACGTCCAAGCTGACGTCACTTGACTTACCTATTCACTGGCTGTCCGGCTATGATCAAGGGGGTACGGATGCAACTAATAAGAATGCGTTTCTAAAGGGATAGGAATATAAATCGGTCAATAGGAATAGTGTAAACAACTGGTTGCCATTCAGAACGACAAAAATACGATAAATGATTTATTTATTCCTCTCAGATGATATAGCTAAGCTTTTAACTTTATTATCTCTATTCCGAAACATTATTCGTGATAAAGAAATTTTAGAAGGTTTTCTTACTCTTTTGGGACACATAAGGGTTAATATTTTGCTCAGAAATATCTTCTCCGTAATTCGCATTAATATCATCATCGTTTTCAACAGATTCCTTTTTATTGCCACTGGTTGATTTCTTCTCAGTATCCAAAAGCAGTTGGAGAAAGTCGTCTCTAGTCTGGAATGTATAAAGAGAATTTAATACTATTTATATTTAAAGAGGTTTAATTTTCGGCAAAGTAAATGAACTGAGGTCATTTTTATTTTATTATACTTAAAAGTAAGAAATATATCCCTCATATCAACTATAACTAGCTCTAACTAGTGAGAAATTCTTCATATCAAATTCTCTTTCAACTACATCATTCACTTAAAGAAAACTGAGTTCAGATAAGCCAAGAATGCACAATAAAGTTCATTAAATGAATATATCATTTAAAAATCATTTTGCCAACAAATTCTAATTTAATCTAAATTCATAGTAAAAGGATTAGGATATTAAACTAATAAATAAAAGTATTATTAGTCTAAGAGGAGGTGTTTTTACTCGGCGGTCATATAAGATCCCGTCTGAACTTATCTACAACATCAAGTTGGATGAAGAGTAGTGAGCGTATGTACTTTTCACTGTCAAGTACCGATTCAATCTGAATTACTATCATCAATGTGACATGTTCACGCATGAAAAGAATTAAGGAACTGGTACTGCAATACCACTCCTCATACACTATGGAAGCTGACAGCAATGCAGGTCGGTTTATAGTGGCCTGATGAGGTATTGAGGTATGACGAGGTATTACTGTGTATAGTGGCACGATGTTGAATGGTTTGAAGGTGAATATATTTGAACAAGTATATCCTTATTCGTAAAAGAGTTTTTCGCGAGCAGTCAGAATGGTTCCTAAGTAGAATTATTCGAAGATATTTTTGGTCCCCAGTTTATTTTTATGAATACTAATTTACGTTCATACGGGGCTGGTTCAGTCGAAGACTACATTGAAATCAGAAATAATTGACAAATGTAATGATCAGTCAGATCTCCAGACATGAATCCTATGAAAATAATTTTGAATGCTTTAAGTAGAGCAATTGCAATTCGACACGGCGAGAAAAATCATGAGTGTTTGTATCAAGGCAGAAGGAAAAGCGGATAACAAGAATTTTGGCTTCACACTTTTTTAATAAATAAAAAACATTTAAAAGCAACAGATCAAATGTTTTAATGTGTTCATTTTAACCGTTTTTAAAAATAAAAAAAAGGATGAAAACGATAGTTTCTTCCTATTCGCGATCGCAACGCTCGAGTACGCCGTCTAGCGGGAGCCTGTAAATATCAGACATTAATTTATCACGTTTTCATTTAGTTCCATCGAAGTCATTGACTGAATCAGACGCCATTTTTTAGCAGCAAATAAGAAACAAAATTTCCCTAAGGAAAAGGCCGAAGAACTTGAAAAAAATNTAATTTATTATTTTTTTAATAACTTATTATAAAAAGCGCTTTTAATTTTATGAATTTAGTTTCTTGTATTATATTTTTTCTTTTGTTTATAAACCTTAATCATATTCCATAAGAAATATTTGCACATAATAATTATAATGATTCTCAAGAATGTCATTTAAACACATAGTGAAAGAAGAAAAATAATATTTGAAATAGGATGTTTAACATAGTGCTTTGTAGCTGTGCAGCAAGCATATGTGTTTATCCATTGTAGCGTGGCATATAACAAGTGATGTAAAGGGTATGTTAGAATGTGCTACTATGTTGTAACGGGAGAATTCAAAAATTGAAAAAAGTTAGACATGTCGATTTTTTTTTTTATTTTTTTTTTTGAAAAGTTTTGGAATTTTCTTCTGGGGGGAAGTTGCCTATTGTGTAAGAATAAAAACGACTCAGAAATTCTAAGATTGGTTAAATATTTCATTCCCGCATTGAACATAAAATTAATAAAAACTTGAACAAATAAAACTTTTGAACCAAACACACTTCAGTTACTTTGTTCATTCGGATTGACCAAAACAACAACACCAGTTGCATGCAAAGTTTCACCTAAGCCCTATCCAAACAACCTTCCAATTTTCCCGTGCGGCAATTACATTATATTTACAGATATCTGCAAAGATATCTAATGGAGAAGGATTCTTTGGCTTACTCTATTGTGTAAGGTACCTTTTGTATATCTATTACGCTTTTAAAGTTTGAATTTTTGGGAGAAATAAGGCATACCTGATCTAGACTTTATTGTTGCTCAAAAATATCCATCTCTAGTTCCTAGTTCAGATTCATTCGATGCCTCTCTGTCGTCATAAGTTTGACACACCTTTCCCTAGCTTGGAGGTAAACTTTGGCATTTCTCTAATGAATATAGTGTTAGAATTGATGATTAACTTAATACCATTTCCTTCTACGTCTCGCAGTGCTAGTGCTGGAAATGCCTGCTCTAGCACTGCCAGACACAAAAGTTCTAATTAATAATTTCGAAGTTGAAAATTAATGTTTGATAATTCGAAATTTCTACCTGTCTTTTTTTAGGGGAGGGTTTGTCTTGCTTTTAAAATCTTTCAAACTTGCAAAAACTGAATTAACGCCTATGAATGGATTGCTATTACAGATCCGATCACTTAGACAGGGCAATTGTTTTTTTAGAGACTCAGATTATGAATGATTATTATGATTATTGATGATGAATGATTATTTTATGAATCTATACCTAACTTGGACTCTTGCACTTATATATACTCTAATATTATACTATTGACTATCATCACTGATAGAACCACACAAGAATGAGACTCTGTAAATTATTTCTATACCGCAATCCAAATCATCTTGGTTTAGATCTGTAAATCTTCTGATTGATTATGTTTCATTTGGTGTTCATCATCACTGTTTATAGTAATATCTCAGCGATGAGACTAATATTGATTTTTTATTAGTTCAGTCCCCTTCCCTGCCTTTCATGGATTGTTCTGTTAATCAACGAATTATGTTAGTTTCAACGAAGTCAACTATAAATCACTGGAGATGTGAGTAGGGGAGAGTGGGGTCAATTGTAACAGGGTACGATTGTAACAGAGCAAAAATTTCCAGTGTCGGGTTCTAGATTTGGTTCCAAGGTAGCGCACAAGGTGTGTTTAATAAATCTACATGAACACCCCTGCTGGCAATTATTTTTATGTACTTTTGAAAGAGTTACTTCACAAAAGATATTTTCACGCTACGTAAGTACTTTTTTTGGTATTAGAATATTATATTGTTACAAAGTAATTTTGTTTAAACAAATAAAAATTATTAACCAAATATGTAAGTGGACACCTTAATTAACATTTCAAAAAAAAAAAGATTAGTTTTGTTAATTAACTAGCATTGTTTTTAACAAATGAAGCTGAAATGGCGTCTTGGGGACGATTGTAACAATAAGTAAAGGGACGATTGTAACAGCTGAAAATAAATAATCTTATGTTTACAAACCATTACTTAACTCTTTAAGAACCACCAATAGTTTCCTATATCATTTATATTATGTTGCATGTGCATTATTTTATTTGTCACCTTTCACAGCATAAATTAAAATTTTTAACCCCTTAAAGTTAAAAGTTTAACCCTTTAGGTCTCTGCTCATTATTATTTTTACTCCTAAAATATCACTACTATTTTGATCAATAAAAAAATATATCACAACTATGATAATATGTATAAGTAACTATGTTTTAGTTGAATTTATGAATTGTTACAATTGACCCCGTAAGTAGGGACAATTGTAACGAGTGCACCATTGTCAAAAATTATTAATAACTAATATAATTACATTTAAAATAAGATTTTTTTTTCTAGTTGGGGATAGTCTACTTTACTCGTCTGTGAATTAATACTAATAATATATAGGATTTTTTGTTAGTTAAAAATAGTTAAGTAAGAAATGTTACAATTGACCCCACTCTCTCCTAATGTATATAAATCTCCAGTGAGGAGACAATTTTATAGATTAAAAAGTCTCAAGGGAAAATAATAATATATGAGAAGGGACAAGAATTTTTTAACACTAGATTGCCTAAGGAAGTCATTTTGACTACTTTTAATTTCAATTAGAAAAACTATGATGTATATAATAACACAATTTCTTAGCATTTTGAACACCATATAATTTTTTATTGTTAATATTTACTAATAACTTGTTATATAACTATAAATAATATTAAAAATACCAAAAATTAATTTCAAACAAATTTATTTACACATTATTTATTTTTTTACAATCCAGTCATTTTGACTGCTTTTGGGCAACGTAGGTATATACTAAGTTTCAGTCTTTCTAGTGTCAAATTAGTTCTCTTATTTAAAATCAGTGTCAGTGCATATGGAGAGGAAATGTCGATATAAAGCTGCTTGCTTATTGTGGTACTGCATTAATAAGGTATTAGTGCGGCTTGTAGCTGAATTATTTTGTTAAAATCTTTATTTGAGAAAAAGAAAACCCGAATGCCCTACACTGCGGGGTGAGTGTTGGATATGTAAATATCTGATTTCATGCAGCTTTATATCTCTGTTGACAATAGTTAGTCATCAGGAATGGGACAAAGAAACAGGATACCGATTCACAATATCTTCTGGACAATTTTTCAAGGTGATTGCAATTAAAATATGTCCAACAGATATTGTTGGTAGACAAGAATTTGTTGGGCAAGGACCAAATTTTACTCTACAGTAGAAATCGTTAAGGCTTCGGATTACTTTATAATCATTAATCGGAATTCGTACGTGATAAATCCTTCCCAATGATATGAGACGTAATATTAAATCTATCATCAATTCTGAAACTATACACATAATTCACCAAATAATGAAAATTTCTTGACACTCCCAGACTGTGAAAATAAAGGTGTATCTAAACTTGTGACGGAGACTTCGTATAAAATCAGTGCACATGAAGCTAGTGATGGATGTATTCAAGAAACGCGAAAATCTGAATAAGTTGTGCCTCATTTATCCAGTAGAAAACACACTAAAGGAAACTTTATATCTCAAAAATTCCTATTCCATAGGAAAGCTTTGTAAATAGCTGTAAATACCGAAACGAAAAATTGTATGGTTAGTTTGGTGAGATGTAGTTGGAACTTGGCGTGGAACAGCCTAAGTTGATTGTTATGTATTGCTCTGCCTTAACAAAACGAGAGAAGTGAAAATTACCTAAAATTGACAAACCTTTGATTTTTCTAAAACGTTACGCGAACGTAAATTTTAATTATTAATACGAATTCAATTATTTTGACTATACAAACCATCAACCAGGCGCAAGAAATTAAGTGTATTCATTTCAAATGTTTTAGCAGCCTTAAATGTTTTTTTATAAATGCATGATTTTCTCAAGCCCAAATTAATTTTTAGTATGATGTATGAATGGAAGAAACTGACCGATTGTAAATGTTTATGTTGTTGTTAATTTTCTTAGATTCAGCGTAACTTTTCCACAGTAAAGAGTTACGAAATTAAAAAAAGTTTTTTTTTCGGCCTACTCTAAAGGTCAAAATTGCAATGAAAACTTTGTAAAATCATAAAATATCAGTTTTCGTATCTCGCCCTAAAGCAAGTGAAAAAAAGCAGTTAAAAATATATTTATGAGACAGACACAGTATCTATAAAAAAATAATCTAACTTGTTTAGTTCTTTTTCTTGCAGATATTATATTTTTTATGAAGTCGCTGAAAAATTGCACAGTAGCTCCTTTAAAAGCAGATGACTTGAAAATATTTTTAAGATAATGCCAGGAAGTAAAAAGCACTAAAGAAATAAAATAAATTGAAGATTAAATAAATTATATACATTTTCATAAAAAGAATTTTGTTTTCATAAAAAAAATCTTAGTTATTTAAGACTTACACATTAGGATCAATTTGGATTGGAAATGAAAAGATTACAGAAACCTTCAGAGAACGGACATTTAACAACACTGTTATTAAAGCATAAGAAAATAGTGATTTGTGATAAGAAAGATGACTTTTCTACTTTTCCTCGAAATTGTTTCATATTTCCTTACCTTTTCTTAAGTACCAAAATTAAGAAGCCAGTTCTAGATATTATATATTCAAAAAAATACGTTTTAAAAAAAAATTAAGAAGATTTAAAAAACATCTGACCTCATCACACATGTTGGTTCTTTTTTCTGTGCAGATATTTTGAAATTTTGAACTATTGTTTGGGAGCAATCTTCAAATATGCCCAAAAGCTAGAGGGAAAAAGTTAAAATATAATCAATTTCAAAATTTAATAATACTAAACTATAATCAATTTATGTAAACATTTCTATTTACCATTACATTCAGAAATATATGCACTTTTATATACTGAAGGATCATACAATAAATGTCTCATTTTGATGTCTTAATAAAATGAAAAATATCTGAATATAAACTTACAAGACCTAAAAATATCAAGTAAAGCTTCAGAAATTACAATTTTCTTTAAAAAAAAAATAGTTTTAAATAAGAAAAAAATGGTTAGTTGTTGAGGAACAAGAATATTGGTTTTTGATTTATGCCAATTAGCAGCACATAAAATTTTCATAACTTCTGATAGATATCTTCACCGCGTGTACTATAGTTTTTCTTGATGTTAATAAAGTGTTGGCGTTAAAAATGATATTAATAAAGCGTTAGATACAGGCTAGATTCTAGAAGAGTATGAGCTAAAATCGCGTAAATATTTTGATTAATTTAAACATTAAATATCTAATCGAGTTCCTGTTCTACCAATTTTTGTTATTCGGGATTGTTCAAACCCATTGCCACTATAGTTCCTCGAGACGAAGCCCATTGCCAATGTACAGTGAGTCAAAAAAAATACACGTGTAAATTTATATCCTGAATAACTTGTGATCTAATGATCGGATTTTCACGTTCTAGGACTCAATCTTAATGGCTTAGTCTTCCTTACAATGTTTTGTAATTACCGGGTTAATTAGTTGTGATTAGCTTAAATTTGGCTATAATGTTATATAACAAGTTATTACCAAATAGAAGTGTCAAATTTGGACAACGTGCGATGAGATAACAGGAAAAAAAACATTGGTTTAATTTTGACATTTGTAATTATCAAGGTTTATCAGGACAATTAAGGGAAGTTCTAGTTGGCAGGAATGCTTAATAACGATTTTACCAAGTCTCAAATTTGGACCATATGTTTTCTACGAGACAAAAAGATAATTAAAAAAAGCTTAATTTCAATATTTTGTAACTATTGGAGTGATTAGGGGATAATCAGCCTGATTGACAGTTATGTTCCTTTACACATTCCACGAAATACCACCATGTGTTTGGCGCAGCATAACTTTAAGTCATTTAAGTCATTAAGTCATTTAAGTCATTAAGGCTTTTAAGTCATTAAACCACGAAGAGGTGAATTCGTGCAAGTGAAGGGCAATTTCAAACAGGTTTCTTTGGGGTTTGGTGATAATTACTGAATTCAGGAAGAGACTACTAATAGGGGAGAGTTGGATAAAACGGGATACCATTATTGTTTATATTTACTACGAAATATCTGTTCAGGAAAATCATACATTAATTTTTTTGTAGTTACAAGATTTATCGAAGCACACAAAAAACATATTTTAAACTAATTTTACTGACTGTGAAATAGAAAAAAAAATTAATTTCCAAACTCTTACATATCCCGTTTTAGCATACCTGGGTTGGATAAAACGGGATAGGGTTTACAATGTTTAAATTTTTGCATATATATAAATATAAAATTATAAATAATGCAAATATATTAATAATATTGTTTATACATAAAAAAGCTCAAGTCTTCATCAGAGAAATACATTACAATTAGTTCTAAAGAAAGATGTGAAATCCTAGAGTCGAAAATTAAATGCTTAATAATGAACGTTAATAAACAAATTTTGCATTACTATATAAAAAGACTAAATTTTTCAAAAATATATATAGCTAATATAAATAAGTTGTTTAAAAAGCCTAGGCCTACATTAATATATGGCTATTTTAAAAGGTAATAATCCAACAAATAAATAGGTGGATAAAACGGGACATAAAAAACTCTATCCCGTTTTATCCAACTCACAAGTGTCCCGTTTTGTCCGACTCCGACACTTTTTGAAACAAACATGGCTGCTGCCTAAATGTGAAAAGAAAATTAGATAGACTGCACATAAAAATATTGGTAAATAAATGGTTAATTAAATTTAATACTCACCGGAATTTTATTCCCATATATGTAGGCAGTACAATGTAAAAAACAACGCACGTAAATGTAGAAAATGGCAAAAAAATAGAGTAAAAAAGTTCTGAGACCTACAACTTTCTATCAAATAGTGATCTCGAGGCGGGACGCACCGAGAATGATATAATCACGGTCGAATAACACGTTTCTGTCGTTGTCCACTAGATAGCTGCAATAGTCTGGTCCCTAGGCGACGTATCCCGTTTTGTCCGACTATCCCGTTTTATCCAACTCTCCCCTACATAATATTCTATTAATATGTACTGTTATTCTCAATAAAAGTGTTTATTTCTAATCTACGCTATAGTTTTTTTTCTAATAACAAAACTGCTTTAAATTACTTACTCTTTTAAGCTTTTTTGCTGTGAATGTAGGAGAGACGATTGACCTAATTCTTCTCCAATATTCTCCTTCATTAACTAAAAGAGATTGTTTCGTAATACTGTCACCTTGAAAAATCTAAATAAACAGAAACGCATTTATTTAGTTAAATAAATATTTATATTTATCGTAAAACATGTCAAATATCTTCTCTTAGCAATATTAAAAAGAAAAAAAAAGCGAACTTCTGTTTCTGTGGAATGTTTAGCTACGTGCGAGGCGAAAACAAACTTACACCTTCTCGTGCTCGTTGGTAAACAACTTATCGTTGTTATCTGACGATATCCAAAAGTACCTAAGTTTGGCTATTTGGAGATAAACAATAATTCATGAAAAGTAAAAATGCGAGTGAGCGTGGTGTAAGCTTTTAATTTTCTTATTGTTTAGATTTAAAGACAGTTTCTAAAGAGTATCTAGGAAATTTCCCTAAATTGTACCACTTTTCACCATTAATTTTTTTAGTAACAAATCACTAACATTTGAAATATTAAATGTTATATTAAATAATAAAATAGATTTTTTCGTAATTATATTTATAGAGTAAGTACTGAAAACTAATTGTTTTCCAAAAGTTTGCAAATGGTACGTTTTAGGAAACCAATTATCTAATTCATACCACCTGCTTCCTAAATTGTATCAACCTCAAAAATATTGAGTACTTATGATTAAGTGTTGAAATTGGTTTGATTGAAAGCTTCACCATAAAAGGTACTAGGACGGATCTGTCTATCAAAATGCATTACTAACCAGTAATTACTGTATCATAACTTAACAAACCACAAGGCTTGTAACCTAGAGGTTTTTCATCACTTTTTCCTTTTCTAGATACAAGGAAAATATATCTTATCGTAAAGATATTAAATATCATTGAATTTACTGAAAAAATTTCCTTTCTTTCCGACTGAGTCAGATATTGATTGAGGTTTTCGGCTGGCGAAATGTCAGTTCAATTAAAGATTACGCACTAAAATATTTAAACCCTTCTGATCAGAGTTCTGTTGTTGTTTTTGTATACCATTATAGCAAGGGGAATGCGCTTCTTCTTATTTACCAATCCATCTTGTTTACCATCTATGACCAAGATTCAACTTAGGTCACAACCCGCTTTACAGGGAGGACACATTTACACACCATCCATCCGTAGATCTTAATTTTGACCTGACACCAGAGCACGATCAATCTCCGATCCAGTACTCCCAGAGGTTGTGAATTTCAATGGAAACTTGGAGGACTTTGTGATCCCCGACAGATTAAGCGTGCACCAGTCATTTTTTTGTACTCTGGGGTCATCAGCCGGCGGTGATCGACCTCTTGGACATGGGCCCAACATCCTGCTAACCAGACTATCCCCACTCCATAGTTCTGTTGTTACGTTCTTATTATGAGCCACATTCGTTAGATGAGAAATTTGATGTTGGGCGTAAAGTTAGTTCAGAATTAGTTCTCGGTTATTTTTCAATTTTTTTGGGTTTAGTACAGTTTAAAATACTTGAAAATGACCTGTTCACTAATTGAAATTGATACGTTTTTCTTAGGTCGAAGGGTAAGATTTAGGAGAGTGCACGAGCTATGATTTAAGTAACTACGCATCATTTTAAATATTTTAAATTAAGTATTATTTCAGGTTTCAAGCAATAAATAGCTTGCAAAAAAGCAAGTAAAAGATTAGAGAATAATTTTATATAACAATTAATCATATGAAGTATTTTCTGATCGATACATTACTTAATCTTTACTTTATCCTTATTGGAGATGCTCGAAAATTATATTAAAAACTAGCAAAACCGATTAATTTAAATAAAAACTTAACAAAAGTACTCAGTATCTTGATTCTTCTGCATGGATCTCCGTGTGATAAAAGCTTCCTAATTTATCAGCTCGAATATTAATTTATTCCTTCTCTATAGAATGCTCAGTATCCGAAAAACTACTTAATTTTCGTTGTTAACTACAAGTACTTTTCTTACAATTGTAGTTAACAACAACTACTTTTTTAAAAATGTAGTGACTATGAACTACTTTTGAAATGTAATCACTAATTTTAGAAAACGAACTTTTCTGGAGAACTTAATTCACACAAATGTTCAAAATGGTTTGAAATTAAAAAAAAGAGCTTATTTAAACATGAGGAATTATGGGGAATNCCATTTTGAACATTTGTGTGAATTAAGTTCTCCAGAAAAGTTCGTTTTCTAAAAGTAGTGATTACATTTCAAAAGTAGTTCATAGTCACTACATTTTTAATAAAGTAGTTGTTGTTAACTACTATTGTAAGAAAAGTACTTGTAGTTAACAACGAAAATTAAGTAGCTTTTCGGATACTGAGCATTCTATAGAGAACGAATAAATTAATATTCGAGCGGATAAATTAGGAAGCTTTAATCACACGGAGATTCATGCAGAAGAATCAAGATACTGAGTACTTTTGTTAAGTTTTTATTTAAATTAATAGTTTTTAATGTAATTTTCGAGCATCTCCAATAAGGATAAAGTAAAGATTAACCATTAAGATTGAGTTATGGAACGTCAAGGTCCGATTGAATCAAAAATTACTCAGTGTAGTCCGTTTTCTTTCTTTTTTTGCGTATTATACAGTGAGAATAACAGAGAAAATATGTTCTGTTCCATTGAAATAACATCATCAATTTTTCAGAAGTGTACATTCGCATTTGGGGGGGGGGCAAAGGGATAAACTAACTATTATTCATAAAGGCTGGTTTTAATAATATGTTATTCTAAATGCATAATTGTGATTAACGCTCAGCCTGAGGGGTGACCTCATTGGGACCCTTGATGGATCCACGAGGATTTGAACCAATCATATTCAAAAAATTTGTTGCGTTTGAACCTTGTTTCTTTACTATACTAACCCGTATTTACCAGGAATCGCTACAAGTTATTGACCAGGAATCGCTACAAGTTATTATATCGCTACAAGTTATAATAGTTATTGACCACAGTAATTGCGCTACACTGTAGGAACTGTGGTTGTGATATCCCTTCGAATATGACGCTGAAAAACCAAAAAAAAATTGGGTCAAGGAATACTTCCGGGTTAACACCAAATCGAGCTTCCCTATACGATTTAAGGGGGGTAATTTAAATCTAAACAATAAAATAGAATAATCTTACACTGAACTTTCACGCTTTTGCATCAAATTAGAATGATTTTCACTTCGGAGAACACCAATGTTGGCGCGATTTGAATATCTAGAAGCGCCAAGTAGAATAATCACGAGTTGTTAGTTGACAATCTGGAATAAGCTGATGAGAGTTTGTTGTAAATGTCAATGTTGCTATTCATAAAGAGAAAGAAATATTGGCCATGAATTATGTATGTATAACTTTAGCTGTGTGGTAAGGATAATTATATTTTGATTTTAAAAACTCTGAGAGTTGTATTAAGTGATTTTATATTTTGTAATTTCTATCCGCTTCCGTTCTATTAAGCCTAATTCGAATTTTTTTAAGTTATTGTATTAGCTACGAGTATGTTTCATTTGCAAAGTAATTTTATTTTACGAATTAGTGTATATATGCATTCTAAATTAATGATTCTTACTTAACATTTTAAAAATAACTTTACTGACTCATATGTGTACCCTATTGTAACTATAAGTTAATGAATAACAAAAATGGATGCTGCTGCCTTACAACAAATAGTGAAAAAGAACATTGGTGTAATGAAACATTAGATTCAAGAGTTAAGGGTAGTCTTTCTCTTTGGTGTTCAGCAATTGCAACCATTTTTTAGTCTAATTTTTTTTGCAGTGTATGAATGATGGATTCTGTGCTAATTTGTAATAAAGTTTTCATTCGTGAAACTTTTAGAATTTTCGGACGCCTGATTCAGAAAGGTCAATTTTTTCGCAGAGTAAACACCTTTTCTTTACAGAGTAAATTTCTTTTTCCTTCACAAGAGGATTAAATTTGACGCAATGAATATTTCCTCTTATTAGTATGAATTAGTAAACAACTTGAACATACTTAGAACATGGACTTAGAAGAAACTTACTCTTCGATTCATAAAAATCGGGAAATCCTTGATAAAAATGTCTCTAATAAGTTTTGGATCACCTACTACTAGAACTGGACGATGACCTTCAAAAAAACTGAAAAAGATTATGAAATAAGTTTATTTTAGAGCACATTGAGCCTATGATAACTTAATAAAGTTTTCAATAAAAGAATTAAGAGTATACAAACATTATTATTGAATTTTAACACCGTCGTTGAACAACTGAACCGATTCTGAGTTTAAGAACTACCATTGTTCAATTCCATAGTCCTGAAATTTTGTACCCATCCCAGAAGACATCGGGACTCCTGGATTCAGCTCTGAAGCAAACTAGCTTTCGTGGAAGAGTTTTTGACAGATCTTGAGCGTTACACGAAGAAAAAAACCACGAAAGTTCTTTACGATTAACCCGTCTACAAAAGATTCTAACTCATGATAATTCTAACTCTGGGAATATTTTACGTCAGCACTGCAGTTGGGACAATCCGGGAGCAGAATTCGTATCAATCAACTACAGCTGGAATCGAATTTTTTTCGTAAAATTAATAGAACTTGTTTGATAAAATAAACAGTACTTATCTGTTTAAAAAAAACATGCTTTGGTTCTTAAATAACAGTTTCTTTCTGTGAAATAAAGGGTTTTATGCAGGCACACCAGCTGGCAGTTCTTTTTTCTGGTAATTTAACAGATTTATTTTTACAGTTTATGAAATGCGCTGTTTCGAGAAAAAGCCATTTGAAGTTAGCAAACGCTTATCACACCCACACTAGTGTGAGTATCAAAATCTTCAATATTTATATGAGTATCAATTTAATTATGGGAAACGTTTTCATCTACCAATTCTATAGAATTGTGCAAAACTGGGCTATTGTTACTTTTGCCACTTGCCAATATCAGCAAGTCTGCTTGAAATCAAGCAAATTTTTAAGACGTTTCACTCTTTTCTTGTTTTTTAGAGGTGCAATCTATGGCCAAGAATACGACTTCAACCACACGCACGTGATAGCCCGTTTTTGAGGGAGGACCCAACCATACTCCATTCATACTCCATCCAAAGATCATAATTCTGACCTGAACCAAAGAATGATCAATATTCAATTCAGAACCCCCGGAGTATTTATTTGTTATGGGAACGCGGAGGACTTTGTGACCACACCGTGCATCAGTCACCATTTAATATACGGGGATTCTTCGGCCGGAGCGATTTGAACTCACGTTCTTACGAAAACAAGCCAATGAGCCAGTGTCCTACCAACCAGGTTATCCCGGCCTCAAAAATGAGTGAAATGACAATTTAAATTTATAATGAGATGAACCGGGTTCGAATCCCAGCAATGGCTGGTCAATACGAACTACGCATCCGGTTTGCATCGACCGTAGTGCAAATATGCAAAAAAATATGAAAAAAATTTGCAAAAAGGTCACATTCGGCCCATCTGCGTCATTGTAATTTTGAACCCAATCCAGAAAACACGGACCAATCCTGGATCAAGTATTGGGATAAAATTTGCCTTGGTAGAGGATTTTTTGACGGAACTAACCCGCATCTGCGTTACATGTTGAGGAAAACCACGAAAACTTCTCATGATCAGACTGGCGGCAAGGGACTGTAAAACTTAATTGTAGAAATGTTCCGGCTGTTTCTTGAGGGGATAGATAATTTTAAATTTAAAAAGAGCTAAAAAACAACCATTCTCGCCGCAAAAATCAGTATTTTTGTAACACAGATATAGGAGCCGTGAGGGCTCAGAGGATAGAGCGTTCGCCTTCCAATGAGGTGAACCATGTTTGAATCACAGTGATGTATGATCGATATGAATTCCGCATCCGGCTTGCACCGACCACAGTGCTGGGGTAAAGTATCCTCAGTGCTAGAAGGATCATGGGTTAGAGTCCCCTTGCCGTAAGGTTAACAGTGGAAGGTTTTCGTGGTTTTTCCTTTCCATGTAACACAAATGCGGGTTAGTTCCATCAAGTCCTCGACGAAGGAAAATTTCTCCCAGTACTTGATCTAGAAGTTCCCTTGTCTTCTGGATTCCTATGTTCAACTCCGTAGCCTTATAATTTTGAACCCAATCGAGATGAACTCTTGGATGAAGTATTAGAAGAAATTTGCCTTCATTAAGGACTTTTCTATAGTGTAAACCCGTATTTGCGTTACATGGAGAGGAAAACCACGGAAACCTTCCACGGTTAACCTGACGTCAAGGGGAATCTAACACATAAACCGTCTACCACTGAGGATATTTTACGTCAGCAATATGGCCAGTGTGATCTGGGTGCGGAATTTGCATCCACAAGTCATCGCTGTTATTCAAAGCCGGAGCACCTTATATCCCCTGAGCCACCACGACTTTAACGAGATGGTTGAATGATACCGAAAAAGACATGAGAATTTAAATAATTGGGGAATTAAATTTGTATATAATAAACGTATGGAAATTCGCGTAATTGACACAGTGGAGGTCTGGGTAGCGCCGTAGTGCTTATAAAGAAGAGAATTATAGTTAGCTAAAAGGAATTAAATTTAAATTTACTTACCCGTAAACTGGTCCTAAGGAAAAGTATCTGTTTAGCTCAAGAACATGAATCGGCTGTAAAAAAGTGTCCAAACGTTTTAAAATGTTCATTAAATTCTATACATTGACTAAGCAAATAGTTAAGATTAAATTTGAACATATTCAGTGACTTGTGACACTGTCAAGAAAATATAATTAAGAATCGACAATAGCATCAATAGTAGCTTCGTTTAACTTTCATGTACCACAAAATAGCCTTGGGAGTATTCTTACAAGATGTTCTGAAATTACTACCCTTAATGTACATTTTTAGAACTCTTTTTAAAAATTATGTTAAAAAAATATGTGTGCATTAAGTGTTGCACATTAATATTTGAGTAAAAAAAATAAAATACTGAAGAATTAGCATTTTAAAAAAAAAAATTCACACTGTAAGAAGTAACACTGTAAAAAATATTGTTGTTGAGATAAGCTAAATATATTTTTAAACTCAAAACTGTAGTTGTCGTTCAAAATATTATTAAAAATTGACAAAATAACAATTATTTGAAAGAATTACTAAAAATATACTTTTTTTATTAATATATTTCCCTTCAAAAATATGCTAAACGAAACGTTTTTGCTATTCAACCATAAATTGATTCTAATGCAAATGAAAATATGAGTTGTTTGTAAACAAACAAACAAAAAATGAATATTGAAACTACAAGTATAACAGTGAAAAGGTATCAAAAAATGTGAATACATGCACCGTAGAAAATTTTGGTTTACTTCAACTCTAAAAATGGTAATAACTTGACACCAATTTTTTTTTAACAGTGAATGAATAATTGTTTGCGAAGAAAGCAGAATGAAAAACATACGAACCAGTTTGTTTGCCTGGGGAAATTTTAATAAGTTCTAACAATAACATTTCAATACGTATGTGCTTTATCGGATAATCAATCAAGTTAGAATGTTGTTAGTATTGACTTGTTAGATCTCAAGGGTATTTTCGTTTTCATTCTTCATTTAAATGTTAGTTTTTGATCCCTAATCTATAGATTATTTTGAATTCATTTTTGGCAAGGATTCTAAAAATACGTTTAGTAAGAGTGGTGATTATGGCAGACTTGGTATCACTTTACTCTAGGTGTGCGGTATAAAACACACTTTACACAATAGTGCCATATTAAAAAATTTAAAATTCACAATTTTCTTTCGGAAATGGTATACCTGCAAGCCACGTACTATGGATATCTCAATCCTGATTGGTTGTTGAAACGGGCATTTGCTTATGTTGGCAACTGAGTTCCGAGTAAGTTAATCCCGCCGCGTATCACTTCTCTTAAAAGACACATTCTATATTCTTTCACAAAGATTCTTTCTCAAATATTTCACTATATATTTCTTACTTAACACAAAGACAGTCACTATGCTATCTAAAAAATACTAATTATACAAGAACTAATCATGCATCGAAGTTGCCTAGTACACAAAACAAAAATACATCACGTTTACAATACAATACACAAACAAATGCTAAATTTAAGTTAAGCAAAAGGCGTAGACGAGAGTGAATTATATTTTAACAAATTCGATGTCCGATACGGTGTTGTTTTTAAACTTAACGTTAATTAACGTTTAAACTTCTGTAAGGAAATTTAGCTCTATTTTAACACGCCATCTTGTTTATAAATGATCAGCTGGTGCTGTGGTCAATAGTCTGTGTATCAGTGATAATTTTCTCGAATTGTAATGGCCTGTTTAGGCGATCCAATTTCTTGGACAGAGATTGATTGATATTGATGGAAACTTGCTTTGCTTTGAGCTTGGATCGTGTAAACAATCATCCAAAAACTTGGTCCAACTTCTTGGACGATAGTAGAACATGTTCTACTTTCCATCCAAGTTTTTTCTCCCTTAACCAATCAGCGTCTTAGGTTTTGTGACCTAAACAAGCAGGCAGCAAATTATGTCATTTTCTAGTTTGTTTTCATATATTTTAGCCCAAGTAAATTGATCTGTTGCGGTTTATTTGTGTTATTATGATTTTATTTGAATTTATTTAGCAATTTTAAACTTATGTAAGTATTATTTTATGATGATGAATATGAACAATGCGCATGTGCAAGTTTTTCTTTCGACGAATCAGAGACATTCAAGAACTTGGACAGTGTCGACGAATCATCCAATTTTTTGGACAGAGAAATCCCTCCAATTTCTCGGATTCAAAAACTTGGGCTGTGTAAACTGGCCTTAAGTACCCAATTCTTAACGATTAATGATGCCAACTTTTTTGTTAAAAAAATTTTAAAAAATGTGGTTGAAAAATATAGTACAAAACCCAAAATTATTTCTAAGCCGTAAATCCCAACCTTAGCCGTAAATCCCCTTAACCCCTTAGACGAAACCTTCATGATTGTGAGTGTTAAATCTTAATCTAATATGTTCTCCGTTGTTGCGTCATTATAAATAGCCTCATAATGAGTAACAACTTTGTCACCTTAAAGTGATTATCTTTTTTGAACTTTAGCGTGTGTAAATAAGAACTGAATTAAAATTGGTTATGGAATATAGTACTTGTGTTCCGTCTTAATTTATATATTTAGGTCTAATAACCGAGTTTTAACTTCGATAATTGTGGTAATATATTAATTTTAAAACAAGCTTAAACTTAGTAAAATTTGTCTTTATTGAAAGCTCCAATTTAATATTAAAAATATCGGCTAAAAGCATACAATTCGATGTTAAGTTCAATAATGTATTTTAGTGCCCGAGGATTATCTTAAATTTCTTAGATTAATGTTCATGGCAAAATAACTTTCCTGGCACTTCTTTTTTCTGTTTTGAACTATTTATATAGGAAAAAAAATATAAGTGCTTTCAAATTGCAACAGATATTAAAGGATTCATGCATTTCGTAATTTACTACGCTCTTTTACTGAATTTATAATAAACTGATTGCGAAAAAATAAAAATTTGCATGTATTTTCTTGTACAGTATTCAGCATTTTTAAAAACTCGAGTATTTCTGAAAATTTTAATTAAAATCAAAACACAAATACAGATTAAATGTAAAAGTAATTTTCCAAAATAACAATTGTAGTTTCAGAAATGGAAAAGTGTTGTACAGTGTTAAAAATAAAAAATGGACCACACTGAATAACTTTTGATCTAATGATCGGATCTTCACATTCACGGACTCACTCAATCATAATGATTCAAAGGGGTTACTTCAAATATGCTATTTAATAAGTACTGTCGATGTATTAAATTACGAAATTTGACATAAAAACGTACTCTCTCTGAAAAAAACATATTTTTTAGATGGATTCGGATTTCTGACCCCAAAATATAGGGAGTAGCCAAAATCTAGGAAATATGGTCCCCATAATTTGGTCAGGAGGGTGATCAATTTAAACCTGTTTATTTTACTTTTTGCGTATTTCGTCATACCTCGAGTAATTTTTTAGTGAATCGAAAAAACTTTTCTCACAATTATAAAGCTCGTCGATCTCAAGATAAATAAATAATGTAATAATTCCATTCAAAAAGTAATTTCCATAGTTTCATGCAAAAAAATAAAGTTCAATAAATATTTATTATATTTTCCTGTTTTTATTATTTAGTATGAGTTGAAAAATTTTTTAATTGTAAGGTATACAATTTTGAAAAATGTAATTTTACATTTCAAAATACAAAATTTGAGGGAAATGGGACAAATAATTCCTAAGTAATTGATCTTTTAATTGTTCAGGGTGGTCGATTTTTTATTTTGCGTCCAAGTACTTCTATTGAAGATTATTATCATTATTCCAGTGTAAGTATTATTATTCCAAGTATTATTATTCCAGTGTAAACATTTCCTTTTTTGATTTTTAGCTGCTGAGTAATTTTTGAAACGAATTCTTCTTGAAAATGAATCCCTGCATTACTTACATTTGAAAATAGGTGAACATACCAAAATTTCATTCCTTTTAATATTAAATACCAATTTTTTAAGAAGAAAAAATTATTTTTGTTTGGTCTAAAGTTGTATATTGGACCAGTGACAGTATTGTAACATGCGCCAGACCAAGTTAGGAGCAACAGGTCCAGTTAGTACATATTTCCTTGTGGATTTTGCTATTTACCCTTTGACGCAGATAGGACATCGGTGTCGCTTTTATATATTTTTTTTCTGGCATTCTAATTACAAGCAAAAATGTATTTTGGTATTTTTCAATTATAAAAAACAATCTAATAATTACTAAGATAATCTTAAATTATCGCAATTATATTTGTACTAAAATATAAAATCCAATCCAAGTAGTTTGAAAAAATAATTTTCTCATTCATATTTAAAAATGGATTAATAAATGATTTTGAAAATTAAGTAAATTTAAATAATAAATAACTGTATCTCTTAAATCTAAATAACTACAAATAAGTGCAAATTTTTAAAAAAAATATTGTTTGGAAGTGAATCGTATTTGAAAGATTTTACCTTCAAATCAGAAAAAGACGCCGATTGTTCTATGCCGTATATCATAACCATAAACTGTTATAATGCTAAATACAATATTTTCACTCATTTTATCCTGAATTATTGCAAAATAATAGAAAAAAAGTATGAAAAATATGCTTAATAAAAATTTTGCGTCAAAGCTGTGCTGAACCATCCTGTATATTGTAAAAATTTTACCGATTGAAAGCTTATAGGAAAAATTCACCTTACCAGAAGGTTTCTATTTCGTTTATCCTTTTTCCTTAAACTTCTTCGTGAAAATCTAAAAAGATTCACGTGATATTGTAAAATTTGTTACCCCAGTATTTTCAGTAAGATAAATTCAATTTGTTATCCCCTTACCTCTCACTCCCGCAAAAATCATGAGATAAGCTTTCATCTCTTATTTCTCGTGCCCGTGATATTTCCAAGCTAGAGCGTTCAAAAGTAACTCACCAAAGAGTTTTGAATATACCCATCTCTTGTGCTCAGAACATTTTTATTTATTATTTTACAAACAAGATGGGACTATTTTCAATGTAACTGGAAATAGTTTATTTTAACTAGATAACAGCACTATCCTAATATATGTGCTTCGTGCTCTTGGCTCAGCTACATATTCTCTTTGTGAGTACACTCAAATTGCGTTGTGTAATAAAATATATTTTATATTATGTACATGATCGAATCAGAGTTACATGGACACATAGAGTGTCAAATTTCAAGATAAAAAAATTAGAAAATTAAAAAAATGAATATATATATTGTACATACACCTTTTTCTATATAATTTTCTTGAATGAAAATATAGACACTCTTATTTCTTTTTTCTTGATTTAAAGAGATTTTAGCTATAAAATTTCCTTAAAAAAAGAGATTAATTTGCAAAATATCTTACTGTTGTCAGATAGTCTATCACAGATCCAAAAAAAGGAAGTGGCTTCACATAAGGAATATTTTTGTCTTTCCAATACGAAAGTTTTTTATTTGAATACCTAAAATAGAGAAAACTAATGTTATTAAAGCTAACCTCTCAGATTCAAATCAGTGTGAACAGGATCAAAACTGGTGACTTACTGGAAACTTAAAGGGAAAAAAAACAGAATTTTCAAAATTTGAAGAAGAAAAAATTTAAAACTAAATTTATCAAGTGAATTAAAAAGATAATCGTTTTTTGTCGCACCTAAAATGAAAACAAAAGTAGAAACCAACACTCCTGAGAAATTTTCGGTGGTAATATAAAGTGATTTTTTTTTTCTTTTTAAGGGAGACAAAAAAAATACATATACAGTCAAACCTCGATATCTCGAACTCGCAGGGAGAGGAGAAAAAATTCGAGATACCGAAAATTCCAATTATCGAAAATCGCATGTTATCGATTTTAGAATAAAGAAAAATGCTCTTTGCAACCTTATTTACTATTCCATATTTATTCTAAAAGCACTTTTTACACTTTCACTTAAAAAAAGATTCAATTATTGTTTGCTTTAGAGATGCGTTAGAAAGTTTGTCTATCACACTTTCTAAGTGGACTATAGCTTTAAATGTCTCCTCTGACATATTCGGCTGCCTCTCAATAAATCTCCTTACAGTGGCCACTGCAGAAAGTGCTTGTTTGTTAGTAAAATTAGGTGGTAAATCTTCGATTTCCTCATCCTCTTCTTCTGATAGTTCACAAGAAGCTTTCGTTTGAGCGATGATATCATTGTCATCCCACTGACCACAATCTGTTACTGCATCATCTACGTTTACAAAGTTATGAAATTCCATGTCATCAAGCTTCATGAGTTCGGTCAATCTGTTCCAATCATTTTCGGTGTAGTTTTCAGCAGAATTAACAATATTGATTGTTTGACTACTTTTGTAATCTTTAATGAATCCAGACTTCTTGAAGCCATTCATTATCGTAGAGGAAGACACATCATTCCATGCCTTGTCAGCCATTCTTAATTTTTGTAAATTTTTTTTTTGAATATTTTTTTAATTTTAGAAAAAAATCTACTCCATTTATGGAAAAAAAATTCAAGTTATCGAGGGATTATAAAAACAAGTTCGTGAAATCAAGTTTTTTTTAACATTGAGTGCATAGGAAATTCGTAGGGAATTTTTTTTTCTTCGAGATATCGAAAAATTCGCGAAATCGAGGTTCGAGTTAGTGAGGTTCGACTGTATATATATTTTAATTTTCAATATAGTTGAGAAATGTATTTTTGAAACTTTTACCAAATTATATTATTTTCACCATTTTTTCTTGTTTTATGCCTGCTAGTCTTTTTATATCAAAAAACGATCAAAACTTTTAATTGGGTATAATTTCTTCTTGATATTTAAGAAGCAATTTAAACTTTCCCAATCATCTGGCACGAAGTTACATTTAATATTTCATCATTCTAATTCACCGAAAAAAGATCGTAACTCTGAGAATAAATTCGAGTTTGCCATAAAATAGCTATAAAATTTGCTTGTATTGAAGCTTGTATGCGAACACGAAACCTTTAATTGGATACCTGCAAGTGACGTAGGTAAATCCTAGCATTTGTCTATTCAGAATTAGGTTCGACTCAGTGCATGATGTCGCTTACAGGTATCCAATTCAATCTCATTTCAATTACATGGTTAGACATAATCACTTTACTTTTTTTCACGTTGTAAGATCCAAATGGGAGTTGATCTGTCTGGCTGGTCAGAAAGTGGTCAAAATTTTAATTGGTAACAAATTAACTTGGGAACTATCCTCTTATCTCCGCCGTCTTTTCCTCTTGTCTTTTTCGTTCTCCTATTTCGTCTTATTTTCGTCGCAATTTATGTGCTCCTTTTTCCTTTTCGACATCATTAACTTTATTACTTCAAGCAACAATAGTGAATGTAGTCCATATAAATATGCATCTTATTCAACATTGAAACAAATATAAGAACACGGAAAATAGTTAGAAATATTTCAAATAAATCGGAATTTACTTTACAAAAGATACTTTTACGTATTCATTAACACATAACTTCCTAAAGAGATTCTAAGCATTTCATGGAACAAAAATGAACCAAATAATCAAAAGATTACAGTGAACTTCGTAAATTCAAATAAATACAGGGTGTTTATAAATTCCCGGACCCATTTTGATGTTTAATAACTCATAAAATAATGAAGATATATACAAACTTGTGGCATTTATTGATGGAATAACTCATATATTTTCCTTTTCACGTTTGACTATCTTTACTTTTGTAAATATCGTCTGCACGTGTGATTTATTTTAGATAATTTCATTTTCCAGTCTAAATATCTGTACTTTTCTAAATATCGTCTGCTTATTAATTGCATTTTTCTCTCTTTTGTTTTTGGCAACTATTGCAATGTTATGTTTACTTTTGATGTGTTTATTCTATGTAGTACTTTTCTATGTGATGTTTTATTCGAGCGGATATTAAGGAGAATGCATACACAAGAGAAAGCACAGATTTTATGGTGGTTCATAGAAACGAAATCCATAGTGCAAGCACAGAAAAATTGCCGAAAAATTTACTAAAAAGATCCTCCATCCAAAAGCAACATCTTGCGGTGGAAAAAGAATTTTCTAGAAACTGGAAGTATCGCAGATAAGAAACGTTCCGGACGTCCCTGCACAAGTGATTTTGACGTTGAGCGTGTCAGACAGACATTTTTAGACTATCCTAGAAGATCTGTAGAGCCACAAGAGAATTGGATATGCCAATTTCAACGGTGTACAAGGTTATTAAGAAACAATCAAGACTACATGCATACAAAGTTCAATGTTTGGAACCGGACGATAGGCCTAGGAGGATGACGTTTGCAACAGATATGGTAGGAAGGATAGAAGATTATGCTAATTTTCGGAAGCGCATAATGTTCTCCGACGAAGCATCCTTTCATGTTTCTGGCATTGTAAATCGCCATAATGTGTGCATATGGGGATAACCCCCATGAATACCGTGAGACACAAAGGGATCCCTCAAAGGTTAATGTGTGGTGTGGACTAATGCACGACCAAGTCATTGGGCCTTTCTTTTTTATACAACGCTCTCATCAGTCGTATACTTAGACATGTTGAAAAACTTCGTATTTCCACAACTAGAAGAGCTTCAGCCACATGTCTTTTAGCAACAAGATGGTGCATCACCTCATTGGGGTATTATCGTTCGTAGTTCTTTGAATGACCATTTTCCAGGAAGATGGATAGGGCGAGGAAGTCCAATTCCTTGGCCATCCAGATCACCTGATATAACGCCGCTGGACTTCTTTCTTTGGGGATTTATAAAGGACAATGTTTACAGGAAGATCGTGTCGAACATTGATGACCTAAAAGCCAGAATTACAACTGCAATAGCCTCTGTGGGCGCCGACATGCTTGCCGCTACCTGACGTGAAATTGACTATCGACTTGATATTCTCCGTGCGACGAAGGGGGCACACGTGGAAGTTCATTGACATGGGTCATGAAACTTTTTGAGTTTATCTAACCATTTATGTTACCAATCTTAATCTATCTTTATTCTTTTATGAGTTATTAAACATCAAAATGAGTTCGGGACTTTATAAACATCCTGTATAATAAAAGAAAATGACTAAGTCATCAATCTAGCCAGTGGTTAAGGTTTTTGCTTTTGGGGGAAGCTGAAAACGTTTGGGCCTGTGTTGTCATTTTACCGCTCTTTGAAAAATGAATACTAGTCTCCCTTTTACATATGCTTTTACATTAAAGTGAAAAACCTAAATATATATCTATGGTTTTAGTGATGCTTCAGTATTAACGCTGGTAAGAGATACGTTTTATCAACAAAAGTCTGCCCGTTTAGATTTTTGCTTTCATTTTCTTACATTTCTGAATAAAAAGAAAAAAGTTTCCAAAGAGTAAGTGAAAAGCACTCGAATCAAACCGGTGTTAAGTGTGCAAAAAAAGTAAAGGAAATATGAAAATTCGTTGACGTAGAAGATTCCTCAATAAGCATTAGATTCAAAATTTGATGGGATTTGAAATGTATGTATAATAAAATTTTTGCTTTATTTAATCAATTTGAATTTTGTTAAGGTTTGAGAATTTATGAACAAAATTTTACCCATTGCTCAAAAAATAAAAAATTATAAAATTTGATATTCAAAATTCAGTGGGACTTAACGTATATTTTTGCTACAATGTTTAATCAATCTGAATTTTGAGATTATTTTTTTATAAACAAAAGTATACTTATTGCTAAGAGAACACAAAAATTGGAAATTTTAAAGTGAAATGCTATCTATCTATGAATCTTGTGGTCTACTATAATTTTTAAAAAATGCTGAAGTTGCTCAGGATCAAAGGTTTTCTCGAAAAATGCAGTTTTGATCACACAGAGGATAAAGCCCTAAACGGCCATTGGAAAAAACCGGTGTTCGATCGTTTACGGGGACTTAACGCCCGATGCATCTATGTCAGCTTGTGCAAGAAATAAATTAAGGTGGCAATCCTTGATAATAAATATTGAAAAAATTAGATAGAAAATTGACGAAAATTATACAGAAAGAAAGTATTTTTTGTGGGACAGTTTTACTCCTTGGTGTGAGATATCTTTTACGAACTGAAGATTAACTTTTGAAAATTTAAAGATTTAAAAAATTTAAATATTTTCTTCTGACTTAGGAGTAAAAAATGATTTTTTTAAAAATAACTGTTGACTGAAAACCACAAAAAAAACTTCTCTAAAACTATACACAAAATTTTTCGATTCCCTTCAGAAAAGTAAGTTTACTTTATTTAAGTGACATTTTTAAATTACCTTTTTTTAAGTGTTTTGAAAAAAATTATTTTGGTATGAAATAAATTTCTTTCCTTTTTTTCCAAACTCTTCTTAATGCAATACAAATGATAAACTATAAATTTTGAATTCAATCAAAAAAGTTGACCTTTTTATATAACTTTGCTTTATACATGTCACTGTGTACTTTTAAAACAAATTTGTTAAAATTTGTCTCATCTAATACTTTTTAGTCTATTGAAATATTGAATAATCTTCTCTAAAAGTAACCGCATTTCTAAGATTCTATAACATTTGATTAAACAACTATTCAATTTAAAATATGAATACATACCACCAGAACAAAGAAGTAAGAATTCCAATTAGTAGTATTTCTATTGAAATATGATTTAAATAAGAAAAAATATGCTCATTGATAGCCATTATCTTATCTCATCAAACAGTATGGTAATTTTTAAAAAGCCCTCTCTCTTAATTTCTCCGTGAAACAGCTAGCAATACTCGTAGGAAGTGTGAATGAAAACTAACAATGTTTACCTGAATTTACGTTTTGCAATAAATATTTGTTTTATATTTTTATTTAAGACTTTTATTAATAGAAATATTGCTAAATAGAACTATTTTATTCTTTTATTTATTTTATTAATTTAAGTATCATATAAAACCGAAAAAATATCCGTGAAAACGGCAATTGTGAGACATTATATACTCTTTTATGATCAATAAAATACTGTTGGCTTCTTATGTAGTTAATTTAATAATAATAAATTTTTTAAAGAAAGCGAAAACAATATTGATAATATAAGTGCACTCGTAACTTACTACATTCACGTACATTTCATATAGAAGTTCTACAAATTTTCACATCACAAAAAGCAAACTATGCATAACCGTTGTTGTCATTCTTAATTTGGAATATATATGCGCTTCCATTCGACAGAATCGCTGTTGCCATTCTTAATTTACAATATATTTGCGCTTACATTCGACCATCCTGACATTTCAGTTGACCTCAATACATTGAAATACATTACAATGAAATTAACAGGATAAATAATATGAAATATTGATAAGTTTCTAACAGTTTTTAAAATCATTATAACGCCGTGATCTACGCACAGTTCGTTTGGCAGTTGCCTTCTGGGTTCTTCATCAGAATCTTTGCTGAAATTATCATCATCACCATCTTCTTCATTCTAGCTTCTTTGGAGAAGCTGGAATGAATTGACTGACATTAGCCGTTGTGGCATACAGGCTACCATCGCTGGCCTCTAATTGAGAGATTCGATATGTATCACTTGGAAGTATTTCCGTGATAACCATAAGTCCTCGATAACGTAGTTGAGTTTTCTTGGCTTCCCTGTCCCCCTTGGATGTCTTTTAACTACCACGATTTCGCCCTTGTTAAACGATAGTGTACTAGATTTCTTTTTGGCGTAATATGCTTTAATTTTCTCTTGCTCTTTTTCGATTTTTTTCTCTTGTTTCGAGTTGTAGCTTCCCCGTATCATTCCGTATTTCACCCTCTTCATCAGCAAACAACCTTATAATCCCATCCTTAAATCTTGGTATGTAGGCATGAAGAATTTCAAAAGGTGTTTTCCCAAGAGTCTTGTTCAAGTTTCTTTCGATTTCCTTAATCCTGCTGTCCCAATCATTTTGATCGACTTTTTCGATCGACGTAGCTATGGCTCTCAAACATTCCATTCGCTTTTCAAGTTCGCATTCAAGTTACAAATTTATAGTTTGATCAAGTCTCAATAGTTCGGACTCCTTAATGCTAATTTTACTTTTTACGTATTTCGCAACATCTCTTGAACTTTTCAAGCAAATTGAAAAATTTTTACATACAATAATGAATTTCGTTTATCTAAAGACAATTCTATGCGAAAAATAATTTTTAATTACTATTTTTTTTTAATTTCATGTAGGCTACAAAATTTTGAATTGTAAGGTGCGCAAATGTAATATCATTTTTAAGAATGTAATCTAATATAGCAAACTACAAAGTTTGAGCGAAATCGATCGAGCAGTTCCTGAGAAATTGAATTGTCAAACAGTCAAATTTTTAAAATTTGATATCTCAGAAACGATTTGACCAATTTCATTCATATTTTATAAAAAATAATTTATTTGCAAACATAAAGAAACAAGAGTCTTATAGTTTTACGTGAAGAACATACTCTAAAACCTTCAACGAAATTAAAATATATCACACTTTGATTGACTCTTGAAACTAACAAAATGCAATCATATTTCATTCGCAAATCAATAAAGGTTTTATTTTGTATACTACTTGACAAAATTAAATAATTATGCTAATAATTATGCCACATTAAATAATTATGCTAAAGCTAATTATGATGAAAGCTCAAACATTATTTTTGTTAAAATTGCTTTAACAGCGTACATTGATAGACTTGTTTAATTGCAACGAATTATAATTCTCCCTAATGCAGTATTATATGGGTATTAAGTATCATAATTCGGGTTATTACTAAATTTAATCCAGAATGATTAGCATGAATAAGAATGTGGTGATTATTAACGTTTCTCCTATACAAATTAGTACTATTGCATCATTGTTTTTTACTTTTCAAAACTTTTTTTTTTAAATTTCAATTACTGTTGATTTTAATTATTTATTTTTATAGATTCACGTTTTAAAAACACAACTATAAGCTAAATAAACACGTGGTTTCAAATAACTTATAAGTAATACTAATTAAGTAACGTAATTCGCCATTGCTTTCAGGTTCATCGTTGAGTTTAATTGACACAACGAATGAAAAATAATTAAAAATTGATTGTTGTTGTTGTTGTTAATTTACGTCGCACTATAGCTGCACAATGGGCTATTGGCGATTTTCTGGGAAACATCCCGGAGGATGATCCGAAGACATGCCATCACAATTTTGATCCTCTGCGGAGGGGATGGCACCCCCGCTTCGGTAGCCCGACGACCTGCGCGCGAAGTCGAGCACTTTACGGTAGCACAGTTTAACGAGGACCAATACCGCACACCCTCGGTCCCTACGCAGACTGATCCAAGTGGTCACCCACCCGCACACTGACCGTAGCCAGTGATGCTTGACTTCGGTGATCTGCTGGGAACCGTGTCTTAACGATCAGTCCACTGCGGGACAATTAAAAATTGACGAACCGGCAAAAAGCTATAAGTTAGCAACTATCACTGGTGTAATAATTAAAACAATTGAAAAAATAAGAAAATTGTTATTGGAGAGTTTTAAACCAATAAAAAAATACCCTTTTCATGCGGCATTATCGAAAGAAGTAATCGAAATTTTCAAGCAAATTTAAGAAACGGCAGCTAAATTTTTACCTCGCAGAAGCTATCCAAACTTTAATGAAAAAAAAACTCTTCATTTTATTATAATACATTAAGAATTGCGAAGTTCTACTTCAGAATAAATATTTAACTTCCAAAGGAATAAATTTTGATAACACACAAAGATGAACAAATAGTTGAACCACCAACGCAAAAAAAAATTGTTTTTTTCACAAAGCGATAATAAAATTTCTAATTTTCCTTAACAAGTTTATGTTTTATATCTAATATAACAGGCATACACAAAGATTATACATTTACAACCCATAAAATAATGGGAGACACGCTTTCAGTTCTTAATATTCTTTTTAATTTCTCAAGAAATACTTAGAGGACTATTTTGTAATTTTCGAATTGCTTTTCATAGAATTGCTGTTCATGCTTTTTCATAATTTGCAATAAAGTTTAAAGATTTCTGGGATGTAAGAGACAAACAATAAATTGCGAAAAAATTAAATTAAAGATCCTATGTCAGAAAATCAAGCTATAAACTTACTTTTGTTATTCAATACTTTTGTTATTTGCAATAATTGCATATATTTTTGTAAATTTAATTTGAATATTTATGCAAATAGGAACAATTGTCGAAAAAAAAATTTATCTTACGATTTGCACTAATTTTGAAAATAATAAGTAACGTTAGAAAAAATTTTTGGAGCAATTTAAAATTAATTACGAAATTATTGTTCTAAATTTTTTTAAAAGAATTGCAAATGTACAAGATATGAGTATTTAACGTAACTCTTTTGTAAAAATTTAAAATTATAATAGTGAATCGTATTTGGCAACTAATGGAAAAAGTTTGATTTAAATATTCTGAAAACTTAAAAATTCTGAAGCAAAATTTTCAAAAAGGTTTTTGTAGATTTTAAAAGAAAGCTAAAAACGATAAGGAGCTTTCTGCATACTTTATACTGACCTTGATGTCTGGTTATTATAAGTTAGTGTAATTTTCATTAATACATAATACAATTTGTGAAAAAACCTTGATTTTTACCTATTGGTGAAATGGGTGTTGTTTAGGGTTTGATGGCGTGCGCATCTTATTTAGACGTCATTACAGCTTTCAACAGTGTTCAAGAGTAATAGTAAACAGTGCGCATGTGTTGTCATTGAATGCGTTGCTGTGACGACCGCTGCTCTTCGATAATTTTTTTAGAATTCTTTTTTTCACTTTTAATTTTGTTATGCTTTAAGTCGTTGAATTTAGTTTTGAAAAATAGGACCAGAGAGATTCCGTAAATACTTCTTGAGTTGTGAATAAAAGAGAATTTCATCATTTGAACGATATTTTTGTTTTTATTGTTTTAATTAAGAATCAGAAATTCTAACCTACATTTCAAACTGGATTGTTTTTAATACTAATTCAGGTGAATATCACAAATAAAGAGGGTCAAAAAATGATGGACACGGTCCCAAAGGTCCAAAGAGATTTTATTTTTATTTTCACCCGCAGGCATTTTTAATGCATTTACGTAATAATAATTTAAAGCATTTTCATATTCTTTTTATTATTAATTTATAATTACTGTATTGACGGTGATTTTAATATAAACATGAATACTGAAGAAGGAAGGTGACTTCTTGAAACAAGGATGTAGGCAGGATTTGAAAACCAATCCGACATACAATCAACAAATAACAATTGAAGTACTGTACAATTCGATTGTACTGCAAATAACAATCGAAGTAATTGATACAAGTTGCAATCTTATTGATTGATTTTCTGGCTTAGGGTATTCGAAAATACTTGTTTTCCTTCTTAATTTATTTTCGGTCTCTCAAACCTCTGAGAGAGCTTCAAACTTTATTGAAAAGTATAAAAAATTGCATGAACTAAACACTTTTAAGTTACAAAATAGTCCTCTAAATACTTCTTGAGAAAGCGTGCGATTATAAATATATACACCGAAGAGCACCGGTAGGTAATAATGACTTATTCGAAACAATCATCAAATATAATTATTATTCAACTGCAGATGTGTGTGTATATACCCAAATAATGTTAGATAAAAAGTTCATGTATTCAAATTTTAAAACTTTAGAAAATAGTAAATAATTTATAAATCAATTCAAGATTTCTTTTCTAAGGTGATTAAAAAGAAAAAAATCTTCGCCTGTTTGGCTGAAATTAGCAAAAAAAATTGTCTACTGCCTAGAAACTTGGAGGTATTTTCTATTAACTACTAACAAATAAACTCCCCGAGCAATCGTAGAATATTATTTAATTTTTTTTATTGTCTGAACTTGGTTGCCCAGCAATGGAGTAAAACTAGATATTCCTTCCTCTCTTGAATTAGTCTGGGTTATCCTAAAAAATTAACTTGCGGCGGCGACTTTGCTTAGTTGTTTTTTGTGCCAAATACATATAAATCATTATCCTCCCAATTTATGTTCCAATCTTTTCAAAATTTCATCTACCAATCTATCAAAATCTTCGTCTATCAATTTTGCCTATTTTGAGTGTCAGGAATTCAAATATGAATATATATATATCTTCTGCTGCATTTTGAAAAAGCTTATGAGGAAAACCACAACAGTATGACATATTAGTAGAGAGTCTTACTTTTTTTAAAAATAGTGGTGGTCAAAAATATATAAATATATATA